ACGCTTTGTCGTAAGTACATTTCGTTATTGGAACATCGAGAACGATGAGATCGCGTGGATGCTAACGGAACGAGCTCGATCGAGACCGACATCCGTGTTTTCTCGCGCTACGTTTCTTCCAAATCCGCGCTAAATTCGAAACACGTAGGCGAACGCAAATCTCCAGCCCGATCGGGACCACTTCCGGGACACTCAATTTCGCGACCTTTCGCCTCGACATACACACTCCTCCTCCTCCTCCTCCTCCGCCCCTTGCCTCCCTCGTGAGATCGACCATCGACGATCAGTCGGTCGAATCACATTTACATTCCCTACCTATATATAAATTCCTTAAGTTAGTCTCTCTCTCGTTCATTGAATTAGGAAGTAGACAAACGTGCGCGGAACGCGTCTCGACCGAATAACGACCTAAACGATCTGGATATGGCCGGAAGACTCCGACTATTTGCAGAAAAGGGCGAACACAGCCCTCGTAAGTGTGTGTGTGTTCACGATTACTCATTTACTTTTCCCCTTAACGACTAAACACCCGAATGAAGATTCAAATAACACACGAAGAAACTTGGAGCATGCAAATACGAACGTGCGCGTATGTGCGTGGATGAGTTATGTGTGTATATGTGTGTGTGTGCGCGTGTGTGTGCGCGTGTGTACGTGTGTGTGCTCGTATATGTATGTAAAGCTAAAGAAATAATTGATTCAAGTAGAGATACACGATAAAACGGGGATGTGTAAAGCTTATTCGCGAAAAATACGCTATATTGTAACTATCATCGATTGTTTATCGCGGGTATCGGAGTATTCGGAAGTCGCGCGTAGCGGGATATAACGTCGTCGTCCTAAGGCAGATCCGGAAGCCCTGTAAACACAATAAGTGGCGGAGGACGGGTTGGAAAGGGGAGGGAAGGGAAAAAAGATATGGAAAACGCATCTTGGGAAGATCGTCTAAGTAGGTGCACTAAATAAGTTCGTTGACTAGATAATGCGAAGCGTTCGTTTTACGAGAGACGCGTGTGTAGTGTGTAGTCTGCCCTCAGCTCTCGCCTCTTAGGCCTTTGGTAACGAAAGAAATAATGCAGTGTATGCGCGCCAGGGTGTCCTATAACCATCATGTTTCGATTTTTGGAGGAGTTGTCTCTCCCCTTCCCTCTCAGTGACAACTACTTCTTCGCGAAAAACTACAATTTTGTCTCTCTCCTCCCCGCGCTGAACCTAGAAAGCATATTGTTCTCCTCCGATCTCGAGCTCTCTCGATCCTGTGCTTTCATTCATCATCATTAGGAAACTACAGCTATATCGATAGTTGCGATAGTTTCGGGACATCCTGTATATGTGACTTGTGTGCGTTCACGTGTGTATGCGGATACGCTCCGAGTGGTGTTCCATTACAAGACGAGACTCCTCCATTGTCGTGGCGGAAGGATCGTCGAGGCGCGTATCGTGAAGATGAGAATGAAAAGATCGTTGGCAGGGAGGGGGGAGACAAAAGATTTGAAAAAAGACGAAGTGCGTAACGAGTACGATATAGAATGATCGAAAAAGCGAAAGATGGATCAGCGATACCGTCTTCTGTTGCTACCTTTCTTTCAACTCTCTTTGTCTAGTTCTCTCTCTCTTTTTCACCAACACACACACACACACACACACACACACACACACACACACACACACACAC